GTGAAAACTTGCCTTTTTATAGACTGTCCTATATAATGCAGTTTTGGAGAGCCACAAACCTGAATGTTACAAGACATCTAATTTTCAAAGGGTTTTGCTGTTTGCTACTGGAGGCAATTGTGGCTGCTTAGACTTTTGCTTTATTGTTAGATCTACACACTTGATTTGTTGAAGGATCAGCAAGCATAACCAATCTCCATCATGCAAATATCCAACATGAGCTCAAGAAGATGCATCAGTTTTCTTTTATGTGTACATATTTCAATGCTATCACACGCCCCTCCATGTTATCCTATGTGTCCATGCACACATAGGCTTTTAGAAGCTTTTAGTGGCAGGGGGCGATTATCAGCAGGAAAAAAAACTCAGGGTCCGTGCATCCAGGAGCAGCAGCGTTTCGGTGATTAAAATGCTTAACGCATGTAAACACGTTTAAATGTGTGTAAATGCTAGGTCAACGTTTCGCACTTGAGAGTTGATTAATTGCAATGGCCAGAATAAATTATTATTCTGTCCGATTAAATGGATTAATACCAATGTGCTTCACGCCTGTAAACAAGCCTAAATGCTTGTAAAAGTATTAGTCACTTTTACAAGCGTCAGGCATTTTTTTTCTGCCAAAATGCTGCTGCCTAGAGGAGGAGCATTTTTTAAAACATTCTGTGTGGATTAAGGCCTAAAAGTGGATAATAACTATCATAAGAAATTTTTTAAGGAAGAAAATAATAGAAAATTTGAAAAGCATATGAAGTAAACTTGGTAAATTGTTATGCTTCTCTAAGTTTCAATTGATGATGATTGATCGTGTTACATATTTACATGTGCATGTTGATTTTAAATGTGACATATATTGATTTTGTTATTGTAAGTATCAAGTCTCAGTTTCTGTATAAATTGCACCCCAGTAGCTGATTATTACTTACCTTTAATATGATGTAGTTGGCTCTTGAATGCAACCAGCTATTTTAGACTAGAGACTGCTTGCTGTAATTTGCATTTCTAAGTAGTACATTGAAAGTAGTAGTGAATGAAATTGGTGAATGGAAATGCTTAATTGTCTTTCATCTTATAAACACCAGTCGTTTTTGGATGCATATCTTTGTTATAGTTTACTACTCAGCTAACAGCAATAAAAAATATGTTTTCATTTAACCTTCTGCAGGTATGAAGTACAGGCATCTAGAGGTTCCTGCATATGCCCACGGTTGCCCACAAAACCTCCCTCCAGTCACCACTCAGATTTAGGCTGTTCTGCTGAAGCCTGGTGGCTTCCCCTTCCTGCCTACTATTGACTGCTTATTGTGGTGATGGGCTCATACAAATGTGCAGGGGCTGAGATTATCAGTGCCAAACCTATGCCTGCCAGAATGGCATACGGCTGTAAACAAACAAAAACAACTTCCAAAACTATGTGCTCATGTAAAAATAAATGTGTTATTAATCAATATCACAAATTTATATACAAACATGCTGCAGTAGTAGAATCCCCACATTCCATTTAAATGGAAGAAGAAAGGGGTTCTCTTCCAAAAATAGACATATATATAGATCGAGAGGGGAACAGTTATAACCTTTTGTATCCTGATGTACAGGATATAGATGTGTCTTTTACATAAACTAGAGCTGTCAGTTGATTTTCTTCTGTCTGGATCATAGGTCCTCTGTGAAGTCCCTTGTATCTTGCAGACTGAGGGTAAAATGCAGCACTGTGGGTGGTCAGTTGAAAGCTCAAGGCTGCCAGCTCTTACAGCACTAAACTCAGTTATTCTTGCTGATTCCTCTGCCAAGCACTGACTTGCATTTAAAACATTTAAAGTGTAACCAAAAGCAAACCTTTTTTTAATTTTGGATAGTGGAGAGGGATTAGAACACCTGTCATTTTTTTTATTGCTGTCTGTGCCCTCATTAGGGAGATTCTTCCCCTCTATTTGTCCTATTTACCATTATCATTGACAGTAAAATTAAAAGAAAAATCCAAATTTTGGGTTGCCCCCAGAACAGGAATAATGGGAATATATTCCAATGGGGAGGTTTTCTCTCACTTCCTGTTTTTGCTCTGGGACAAGAAGTAAGAGGGGTTACAACCTTCCCTTACTCTATCCAAAATGAAAAAAAATGCCTTTAGTTCTATTTTAAAATACACATATCCCAATTTAAAAGAGAAGTACAGCCAAAGCTCATTTGGCTGTACTTCATCTGTGGATCACGGGAGTGCCATTCGTTCTGCACTTCTGTGGCTGGCTGGGGAATGATCCCAACTTTAAAGTCGGGATCCACCCCAGATTATGAAGCAGCACCTGGCTCAGGCTCTCAGTGAAGCGCAAAATACTTATAGTGTAGTACATATTTATTAAACAAAGAAATTAAAAATATCCAGAGTTGCACTTACATGACAAGGTGCCATAAAAGATACCAACATAGACAGCTCACTGATGGACCTTTCTTAAACAACACCGCTCACACTACAGAGCCAGTGTGCGGTCCATAGACCAGAAATGATGTCGTAGGTAGACCTGGAAATTACACGCACAGCTTGGCTTCAACGCATTTCATGCACAGCGCATCTTCAGGAAGCTCAGCTGAGCACCTTCTTATTTAAAGACAATGGTTTGGTTTATTATATACCTGTGTTTGTAATCATTTTAACAAAAAAATCTTCAGAACTTTAGATCAATGTGGCTGCAGCTTTGACAGAGCCACACCTACCAACCTTCTTAGATGACAAAATACTGTACATAGACAAAGGACACATTCCTGCCATGTCCTTGATTACAGTACATAGTCTATGAAGAATTAATTTACAAATGTTGACAAGTGCTTTTTTCCACCAATGCATTTCCATTACACTGCTTACAAAAGGTTCAGTGTAGTATAACAATTTTTTGTAGTAAATTACTACGGTATTATAGTGTTGTCTATCTCAAAGCAAAAGAGGGATCAGGAAAGAAGGATATATTTTTTCCAAGGTGGATCCAAAAAGAAGGATGGTCCCTCCAAATGAGGGACAGTATGGATGTTGGCTCTAATCTTTAAACAATGTTCTTTCCATTTCATAAAATCTCCCAAATGTGATCATCTAGAGGATTTTGGTGTCTCCTATACTGTAAGCATGTGGTTGTGAAATGTGACCTTTAGTACATACAGTATATGAGGATGTTGAGAAAGCATAGTGATGTAAAAAAAGCTGCATTTATGGTGCCAGGGAGTGGTTTTAAAAAAGGCAAACATTTTTTTTTTTAGTTGGATATAGGTATGACAAGATTAAAAGTGTACTTAAAGTTAAACAAAGCCAGTTATTTGACTAAACTAAATGAGTTTATATATTTAAAGTAAGCTTCATTCTTCAGTATAGGAAAATATTAGCAACCTAGATTTTAAACACATACAAATATCCTTGAGTTTATGGACTTGTTTCTTTTGGCAAACTGCTCATTAATGTAAGGCTTACAAATTACTTATGAGTTTCAGTTTTAGTGTTTTAAGTAGTTTAATTTGATTTCTCATTAGCCACTGGATTTAGCTCCACTGTAAATGCACAATTAATTAATAATGCTTTGAAAGCTAAAGAAAACTAGCTACTTTCAACAATCATTCCATTTCAGCAATAATATTCTTTTGGACTTAAAAGAATGCACTGCTAAGATATCCTTTTAATTAATGAACTCAAGACTGTAACCATCTGTCTATTGCTTGGCAAATAGGTATTTGATCAATTCACTAACCATGATGTATATTTTAGTTCTGATTGATCTGCCCACTCTATTACAGTTGTGATACAAATGACCAAATCCAACCCTCAGCAACCCAACTTTGCCTATATTTTTAGAAAAACAAATAACACCATATTTGAAGGGCCCATTTCTTCTTAGTGGTCCTCCAATCAGCTGCCTTTCTGAAATACCAGCATTAATAAGAAATTCCCACAGGAGACATCATGTGTAATGGCATTCATGTTTAATGGCATTCTTGACTGTAGGATTGGCAATATTGAATTGAAAGCTGTACAATAAGTACAGTATGGATATTTAATCTGTGCTTTCCATTAATTGTAAGCCAATATCAGGCTTATCTTAAATGATAAAAAATCTTTCAAAATACCAACTTGTTCTTGAAGGGTAATGGTATACTTCACCAAGAAAGCAGTATAGCAACATGCATATTTTTCAGTATATTACTTGAAACCCCCTTCCTGCAACTGACTGGTATATATGTGTCACTTTGCTGTTTACAGATTATTAGTAGAAATAATTAAATCAAATAAATAAATAAAAAATGAGTTAAAAACAATCCCTCCTCTTAGTTTTAGGCACAGATTAATGTACATCTTGTTGTAATTTACTGTAGGGTATCATAATATGGCATCCTGGAGGGTTTGCTATGCCCTTACTGGTAAGTCTGTAGCAATGTTTTGCATTGATGCCAGATACAGTACATGAGGTCCAAAAGCAGAGGAAAATAATTCATCCTTTTGTTGTCAAAATTTGATTTGTAAAAATAAATCCTCTGTGGATGTTAATTTTAAACTAATATATCTATAGCTTCAAGTATTTTGTAAATAAAAATGCTAAAACAGCTAATTTCTGGCCACCAGTCTACCTTAACTCTGCCTCTGATCTTTTCTCTCAAACATTTATAAAACCATGCCCTATATGCTAGGTCTTCCCTCAAGACTCCCCTCAAGAATTGGAGGAATGTGTTTTTCTTCTTGTAAAGGACATCTTTATTAATGTTAATTATATGGGTGGGTAACTTCACAATTGCCTCTCATATCTTACATAACACATTTCAGTGGTCCTGCCTGGATGTTTGGTGGAATGGTACAGTTGTGCTCAAAAGTTTGCATACCCTGGCAGAAATTGTGAAATGTTGGCATTGATATTGAAATATGACTGATCATGCCAAAAAATGCTCTTTTATTAACCTCTTGCCGACCGTGCATAGCCGAATGACGGCTTCACCGCGGCTGGCCAGTTCTGGGTGGACGTCATATGACGTCCTCCCAGAACGCGCTCTCCTGCGCGCCCCAGGGGGCGCTCACCCGGCGATCTCCGTGATTGCTGTGTCCTACGGACACAGCTGATCACGTGATGTGGTAAAAGGCCAATCACAGCGGCCTTTTACCACGTGATCAGCGGTGTCCAATGACACGCTGATCACAGGGAAATGCAAGTGCCGGTTCTCGGCTGCACTTTCCTCACGCTGTCAGATCGGTGCCCAGCAGTGACACCCGCAAGTTCCGCCCAGCAGTGCGCCCACTAGCTCCGCCCACCCGTGCCCAGCAGTGCACCCACCTGTGCCCAGCAGTGCCCCCACCTGTGCCCAGCAGTGCACCCACCTGTGCCACTCTGCAGTGCCACCTACCTGTGCCCAGAAGTGCCACCTACATGTGCCCAGCAGTGCCACCCACCTGTGCCCACCCACCTGTGCCCACCAGTGCCACCCACCTGTGCCCACCCACCAGTGCTGCCCACCAGTGCCACCCACCAGTGCATCCCAGCAGTGCTGCCAGTCAGTGCCCAGGGGTTGTGCCAGTCAGTGCCGCCAGTCAGTGCCCAGCAGTGATGCCAGTTAGTGCTGTCTATCAGTACCCATAATCAGTGTCACCTATCAGTGCCGCCTATCAGTGCTGCATATCAGTGCCGCCTATCTGTGACCCCTAATTAGTGCTGTCTATCAGTGCCGCCTATCCGTGCCACCTCATTAGTACTGCCTATCAGTGCCCTTTAGTGCTGCCTATCAGTGCCCATCAGTGCCGCCTATCAGTGCCCATCAGTGCTGCCTCATCAACGCACATCAGTGAAGGAGAAAAAATACCTGTTTGAAAAATTTTATAAAAGAAACAAATAACTTTTTTTTTTTTTTCAAATTTTTTGCACTTTTTTTATTTATAGCGCGAAAAGTAAAGTGCCCAGTGGCGATTAAATACCACCAAAAGAAAGCTCTATTTGTTAGAAAAAAATGATCAAAATTTCATATGGGTACAATGTTGCATGACCGCGCAATTGTCAATCAAAGTGCGGCAGTGCTGAAAGCTGAAAATTGGCCTGGTAAGGAAGGGGGTATAAGTGCCTGGTAGGCAAGTGGTTAAAGGATGATGATCATATGAAGCCATTTATTATCAAATAGTTGTTTGGCTCCTTTTTAAATCATAATGATAACAGGAATCACCCAAATGGCCCTGATCAAAAGTTTACATACCCTGGAATGTTTGACCTTGGTACAGACACACAAGGTGACACACACACATCATCAATAAACACTAATGACTGAGTGCCACTGGAAGCCATGCATGCCTATGCCATCACACTGCCTCCACCATGTTTTACAGATGACATTGTGTGCTTTGGATCATGAGCTGTTCCAAGTCTTCTCCACACTTTTGTCTTCCTGTCATTCTGGTACAGATTAAGTTTCATCCATCCAAAGAAAGCTTTTTCAGAACTGGTCTGGCTTTTTTAGATGTTTTTTGGCAAAGTCTAATATGGCTTTTCTATTCTTCAGGCTTATGAATGGTTTGCACCTTGTGGTGAACTCTCTGTGTTTTACTTTGACAATGATACGCCCGCCTCCTGAAGAGTGTCCTTCACTTGTCTGGATGTAGTGAATGGGTTTTTCATTACCATAGAGAGGATCCTGTGATCATCCACCACTGTTCTTCTGTGGACATCCATGCCTTTTTGTGTTGCTGATCTCACCAGTGTATTCGTCTTTACTCAGAATGTAACAAACTGTTGATTTGGCCACTCCTAATGTTGCTACTATCTCTCTGATGGATGGATTTCTTTCATTTTTTGGAGCCTTACAATGGCCTATTTCACTTGCATGGACAGCTCCTTTGAACGTATGATGTAGGTTCACAGCAATAGATTCCAAATACAAATATCACACTTAGAATCAGCTCCAGACCTTTTAACTGCTTAATTGATGAAGAAATAATGAGTAGCCCACACCTGGCCATGGAACAGATTTTAATTCAATTGTCCAATTACTTTTGATCCCTCGAAAAAGGGGGGGGGATGGCAACTCTTACGAGCTGTAGTTCCTAAACCCTTCCTCCAAGTCAAATGTACATACCCTCAAATTAAACATGAGAGTGTGCACTTTCAGCCCATATCCATTATATAACTATAGCTTGAATATGTTTTGGTAAATACCTGAAAAAAAAACTAAAATTGTGCCTGTGTCCAAATATATATGGACCTAACTGTATACAGTTGCAAGAAAAAGTATGTGAACCCTTTGGGATTACGTGGAATTTTGCATGAATTGGGCATAAAATGTGCTCTGAACGTCATCTAAGTCACAACAATAGAAGAACACAGTCTGTTGAACATAATACTACACAAACATTAGATGTTGCCATGGTTTAATTGCACATAACATGTAAACATTCACAGTGCAGGGAGGAAAAAGTATGTGCCTGTTTTGGGTTTACTGGTTTCAAGAAGCACTGTCTGATGTGAACCATGCCTCGCAGAAAAGAGCTCTCAGAAGACCTACGATCAAGATTTGTTGACTTGCATGAAGCTGGAAAGGGTTACAAAAGTATCTCCAAAAGCCTTGATGTTCATGTGTCCACGGTAAGACAGACTGTCTACAAATGGAGAAAGTTTAGCACTGTTGCTACTCTCCCTAGGCATGGTCGTCCTGTAAAAATGACTGCAAGAGCACAGCGCAGAATGCTGCATGAGGTAAAGAAGAATCCCAGAGTGTCAGCTAAAGACCTACAGAAATCTCTGGCACATGCTAACATTTTTGTTGACACATCTACAATAAGGAAAACATTAAACAAGAATGGAGTACATGGGAGGACACCACGGAGGAAGCCATTGCTGTCCAAAAAGAATATCGCAGCACGTTTGAAGTTTGCAAAAGAGCACCTGGATGTTCCACAGCACTACTGGCAAAATATACTGTGGACAGATGAAACCAAGATTGAGTTGTTTGGGAAGAACACACAACACTATGTGTGGAGAAAAAAAGGCACAGCACACCAACATCAAAACCTCATCCCCACTGTAAAACATGGCAGAGGGAGCATCATGGTTTGGGGTTGCTTTGCTGCCTCAGGGCCTGGACGGATTGTTGTCATTGATGGGAAAATTAATTCCAGAGTTTATCAAGACATTTTGCAGGAAAACGTACGACCATCTGTCCGCCAACTGAAGCACCGCAGAGGATGGGTGATGCAACAGGATAATGATCCAAAGCATACAAGTAATTCAACAAAACCATGGCTGCAACAGAACAGAATACACCTTCTGGAGTGGCCCAGTCAGAGTCCTGACCTCAACCCGATTGAAATGCTGTGGCATGACCTTAAGAGAGCGATTCACACCAGACATCCCAAGAATATTGCTACACTGAAACAGTTTTGTGAAGAGGAGTGGTCCAAAATTACTCCAGATCGTTGTGCAGGTCTGATCTGCAACTACAGGAAACGTTTGGTTGAGGTTATTGCTGCCAAAGGAGGGTCAACCAATTATTAAGTCCAAAGGTTCACATACTTTTTCCTCCCTGCACTGTGAATGTTTACATGTTATGTGCAATTAAACCATGGCAAACATAATGTTTTAGCAATAGTGGTGTGACCCTCCTGCGCTCCAAATATAGTGTTTTTAAATAATACAAATTAAATATATGAACCCCAAAAAGCTGCTAGCATTAAATCATATACCAGTGATCAAGTGAATATAAACCATATAAATGCTGCGCTACATTCAAAATTAAAGTGAATGTGGAATCCAATAATATAAATCAATATAGTGACAATATTATGTAAATAAATATATAAGTGCTTAATGATAACAAAAATTATCACATCAAACACCCCAAAAATTATAAAAACACAAACTTAAATCTATACGCATGTGCATAAATTACACATACATATAGTTATATCACACGTGCAAATGTGAAGTGAAATAATGGCTTATTAAACGCACAGAAAAACAAATCTATAAATATTGAAGGTGAAAAAAAAAATGTGAAGTGAATTAATTGCTTATTAAACGCACAGAAAGTCCAATTAAATGTTGAAGGTGAACAAAAATGATAACGGTGTTTCCAATAATACTGCAAAGTGACCACAGGTGAACCAAAACGTGCAGGTATCTGAGTGTAGATAGAGCTTGTGAATCCAACCACCTTCTGGATTAGCCTCTCACCTCATCCCTTCGACCCTTGCGGATCAAAGAGCAATAATGGATCCCTCTCACAGATCCTCCAGGCACCACAGCCTTCCAGAAACGCTTTTCAAATTTCAATAATCCCACTCAAGCTCTTCTCCAGGTATAGGTGAAATATCAATCCCTCAGAACAAAAAGAGGAATCCTCCCATAGTGTAGTATATTTATTTTATTTATACCATAGGAACATAGGAACATAAACTTGTAGGTAGAAAATTCCACTTACATAGCAGCCAGTCCACATGAGACCCTCATGCTCTCAGATGAGGATAAATCTGTGTTGTTGGGTGTACAGCTGAATAACAGGTGTACCAAGATGGCCGCCACGCCGGAAATACGTCACCGCGCTTACGCCGACGCGTTACGTCACAATATCACGTGACTTCATCAGGGCGTTTAATAAGCAATTAATTCACTTCACATTTTTTTTCACCTTCAATATTTATAGATTTGTTTTTCTGTGCGTTTAATAAGCCATTATTTCACTTCACATTTGCACGTGTGATATAACTATATGTATGTGTAATTTATGCACATGCGTATAGATTTAAGTTTGTGTTTTTATAATTTTTGGGGTTGTTTGATGTGATAATTTTTGTTATCATTAAGCACTTATATATTTATTTACATAATATTGTCACTATATTGATTTATATTATTGGATTCCACATTCACTTTAATTTTGAATGTAGCGCAGCATTTATATGGTTTATAACATCTAATGTTTGTTTAGTATTATGTTCAGCAGACTGTGTTCTTCTATTGTTGTGACTTAGATGACGTTCAGAGCACATTTTATGCCCAATTCATGCAAAACTCCACGTAATCCCAAGGGGTTCACATACTTTTTCTTGCAACTATATATATATATATATATATATATATATATATATATAAAAACCGCATCCAATCCGCATGACATGTGAAAAAACATTGCTTCCTATGGTGCCTTTTCACAAATGTCTGGTGCACTGGCGGTGTGGATTCAGTTTTAGAAAGAGTAATGTCCAATTTCTGAGCAGTGCGGTCCGGTTCAGGTGTGGATTATAGGCTATTGACTTCTATGGGAACCGCGTCTAAACCGTGAACAAGATAAGATCCTGAGCTAATCCTGTCCTGAACCTGATGTAAATCTGACGTGAACCTGTGAACAAGTACTGTATCTAGCTGTGAAACCTGAGCTTCAATCCGCACCGCACATGTCTGAATCAGCTCTTAATAGTAATATAAAACAATATATAGAAAAAAGGATTTCAATAGGATTACAATATATCAGTTGCCTCGGACAAAATACGTAATAT